ACATATACCAAGTGCTGCTGTGTAACTTTGCCTTCAAAATTATCTCTGATTGGCTAATAAAAAATGGCTAGGCAGAGTTAAGTTTTGTGCACTTAGAGGAGAGAAGAATCGTGGGAGAGAGAAGAAAGGAGAGGAGAGAAAAGGAGTCGCTACGGGTTAGTGTAAAAAAGAACCACGGGGCCAAGACTTTACTCTGAGGATCGGGAAGATGGAGAAAAGCAAAACAAGTGCAAGTATTTATCAGAATGTTGGGCAGGAAGTAGCCCAGGCAGAAATGATTAAAGTAAATGACATGGGGTGGGGGTGGGGGTTGGAGTTGGGAGATAACAAGGTAGCGTAGGGGGTTTATTTCTGCCCATCCCCAGTGGTTTAAGGTTGTTAAAAAAAAATCTAACAGGTAACCAGGTCTTTTAAAATACCGTTAGCTTACTAACCACATAAATCAATATATCAAATATTAAAAATTACTGCAACACCTGGGAGTTACAAAAGGATGAGTCTGTAATCTGTCTGCTTATGATGGAAGACTGTGCTGAGTATAGTGGGTCAGTTTGATGGTTTCACTGTATCTAATGACACAGAGACAATGAAGAGAAGGGCGTTGAGCATGCAGGTCCTCATGAAAGGCTTGGAGGCAAAGCCTTGTGATATAGAGCTGGATGTTCAGCTCACAGGAAACAAGACCTTCTTCTCTTCACAGGAGACCTAAAGAGTCTCTGTTCAAACCACTGCTATGGCTTGGTAGGAGAGAGGGAGCTTGGAAGAGCTGGAATCTCTGGCTTGGCATGGGTATAACGGCAGCACAGCTGACCTTTTCAGATGTGTGCACACATAGGCACCAAAGGCTCAGATTCTGCATCTTGTGTTTCCTGTTTGTTCAGGTTGATGGGACCAGAGCTTATGAAAGATTTAGAACAACTGCAGAATTCTGCATTGTGGATGATATTTAAACAGATTTAAAAAAAAAAAAAAAAAGATTGCAGGAGTGCCTGCCTAGCATATACCAGGACCTCATTCACCCCTCACACAAAATAAAAAATAAATTATCCTTAAACACACACACACACACACACACACACACACACACACAAAACAAACCAGAATCTCATTCCCAGCTCTGTAGCAGAACACCTGCTGCAGTCTCCCTTTCCTCTCTGACCCCGTTCCTAATGGATCACAAAGATCTTCTCCTTCAAACTTTCTTCGCTCAACCCATCCTGTATCCCAGCATCCAACACCAACACACACTCTTTGCGAACGTAATAGCTGAGCAGACCAGGGAAACAGGTAAGCTAAATGAAGACCTTCACCACTCCTGCCTCTCCTCCAAATCTAATCTTCCCTAGCTGTGCAACGGAGCACCTGTTGCAGCTTTCCTCCTTTGTCAACCTCCCCGCCCCATTCACATATTCTGTGGACTTTACAGACTTTCCACTCCTAACCTCCTTTCCACCACTTATTGCTCTGTCTAAAACCCCAATTCCAGCAGGCACTCTGCCAACACCAAAGGCCACTCCTGCCAGGGAAGCAGGTAGGCTGCCTGTAGATCTTCCCCTCTCCTTCTCTTCCTCCAGATCCAATCCCCCAGTCTCATCCAGAGCACTATAGCAGACCTTTTGGGTGACCTCTACTCCCATTCCAGGACAGTCTGCTCTCCTTTCTCCTGCAAAACCTCCTAGCCTATCCCTTCTCTAAGTGTCAGCTCCCAATATGCAAAAACACATTTTACTTCACATCCCAAAAGGCCACACGTTTCAGGTCCACAGAAATTTTTCTATCAGACAATTCACAGCCATTACATTCTTCTAAAATCCACAAAGGAAACAGACACCAAGAAACAAATCAGCCACCAAACAAAGAAAAAACAGAAATCAGCACCCAGATCTATAATTAACCCAATCCCAGGTGCCCTAAATACCAGCATAAAAACATAATAAATAATATCCAGGACAATATGTCTCCACTAGAGCCCAGAAACCTTACCACAGCAGGTCCTGAATAGTCCAACATAACTGAGGCACAAGAAAGGAAAAGACCTTAAAACAGCCTGTACAAAGATGATAGATGTCTTTAAAGAGGAAATGAATAAATTTCTTAAAGAAATCAAGGAAAATACAAACAGTGGAAAGAAATGAATAAAACTATTTAAGACTTGAAAATGGAAATAGAATCAATTAAGAAAATCCAAATTGAGTAATTATGGAAATAAATAATTTAGAAATTTAAACAGGAACTACAGAGGCAAGCTTACCCAACAGAATACAAGAGATGGAAGAGAGACTCTCAGGTATTGAAATATGATAGAAAAGATATGACTCTATATAAGATATATAGATAGATTATAGAAATCTTCTATACATAGATCTCTATGTAAGAAATATAGATATCTATTTAAGATGTATGATATATAAGAAAGCTATGACTGATGTATACATCAGTCAAAGAAAATGTTAAATCTAAAAAAAAAACTCCTGACACAAAATATTCAAAAAATCTGGGACACTATGAAAATCCTAAATAAAAAAAAAAAAAAAATAGAGGTAGGAGAAAAAACTAAGCTCAAAGTCCCAGAAAATATTTTCAACAAAAACAAAATTTCCTAATCTAAAGAAGGAGGTGCTCACCAAAGCACAAGAATTATACAGACCACCAAATAGATTAGAAAGTTCACTATCACATATAATAATCAAAACACTGAACATATAGAACAAAAAGAAAATATTAAAAGGAGCAAAGGAAAAAGACCAAGGAATGGTGTAATGGCAGAACTATTAGAATTATGGCTGAATTCCAGTAGAGATTCTAAAATTCACAAGGGGTGAACAGATGTGCTGCAGACTCTACGAGACCACAGATGCCATCTCTGACTACTATACTCAGCAAAACTTTCAATTACTATAAATGATAAAGCCAAATTTCAAGAATATTCGTCCAAAAACCAAGCTTTTCAGAAGGTGGTAGAAAGAAAACTCCAACATAAGGAGGTTAACTCTAACCATGGGAACAAATAATCTCAGACAAGCAAAATCAAAAGAAGGGAAACACAAACACGCACACACACACACAAACAGCCACTACCACCAACAAAATAATAGGGATCACAAACACTGCTCATTAATGTCTCTCAATATCAATGGTCTCAATTCTCCCCCCCCCCAAAAAAAAGACACAGACTAACAGAATAGGTTAAAAAAAAATCTATCCTTCTGCTACATCGAAGAAACACACTTCAGCATCAAGGATAGACATTACCTCAGGGTGAATAATTAGAAAAAGATACTCCTGGAAAATACACCTAAGAAGCAAGTTGGTATAGCCATTTTGATATATAACAAAACAGACTAATCCAAAACTAATCCGAAGAGATAGGGGATGATATTACATACTCATCAAAAGAAAATTCCACCAAGGGGACATTTCAATTTTTAACATCTATGCCCTAAACACAAGGACACCCGTGTTTGTAAAAGAAACACTACTACAGAGTAACTCACATACTGACCTTCACATACTGAGATTAGGAGACTTCAATGCTCATACTGATCAATAAAGAGATCATCCAGAGAAAGACTCAACAAAGAAATGCTGGAGTTTAACAAACGTTATAAACCAAATGGTCCTAACAGATATTTATAGAACATTTCAACCAAACACAAAAGAATATACCTTCTTCTCTGTGCCTCATGGAACTTTCTCCAAAACTGACCACATACTTAGACACAAAGCAAATCTAAAAAGATACAAGAAAATTGAAAGAACTCGTTGCATCCTATTTGACCATCATGAATTAAAGCTGGATATCATCAACAACAGAAAGCTTACAAACTTGTGGAAACTGAACAACTCTCTACTGAATGAAAAATAGACCAAGGAAGAAATTATGGCCTTTCTAGAATTAAATGAAAGTGAATGCACAGCATACCTAAACTTATGGGACACATAATGTAAATATTTGTGTTTCCCAATGGTCTTAGGTGACCCCTGTGAAATGGTTGTTTAACCCCCAACTGGGTTGTGACCCACAGTTAAAGAACTACTGTTCTATGGTCTTTGTTACAGGAAGATACTCTACAAGCTACCAAAAGAGAAACACAAAATACGACTCAGCCACAAAAGCTTTGATCTACAATCTGTCCCTGCCTGAAAAAAATATGCTAGGGCAATGGTGGGACAAAGATTGTGGGAGTAAGTAACCAATGCCTAATTTGATTTAAGCTTATTCCATGAGATGCAACCCATACCCAACATTCCTTGGGTGAGCAAGAACCAGAGACTAGATAGCCTGGAGACCTACGATAAAAGCAAATACTTCTGATCTTAAAAAAAGAAAACAGTAACAATAAAATGATGCTTAATGATATCCTCTATACTCATAAATCAGTATCTCATTCAGCTATCATCTTTCTGGAGCAGATGGAAATACAGAGACCCACAGGCAAATATTACACACACACAGACCTTGGAACATACAAATCTACATGGGATGTCTTCATCAAATTCCTCCCCTTAGGGCTCAGAGTATTCTGTGAAAGTGGGGGGTGGAAAGAGTGTAAGAGCCAAAGGGGATGGAGGATACAAGAGAACAAGTCTCTAAGTCAACTGAGCAAAGACCAAAACAGCAAGCATAGGCCTTGCACAGGCCTGTACCAGGTCCTCTGCAGATAAATTATAGCTTTAGTTTAGCATTTTAGTGGACCCCTGAACATGTTAATGAGTGGGTCTCTAATTCGTCTGCCTTCTCTTGGGGATCTTTTATTTCTATTGGTTTGCCTTTTCAACTTTGAAGTGATGGTTTTTGTTTCAGCTTTGAAATAATATTTTATTTTGTTGTTACCTGTTAGAAGTTCTTTTCTAATGAAAGACAGAAAGGGAAAGGACCTGGATGGGAGGAGAGGTGGTGATGAACTGGAAAGTGTGGAGGAAGGGGAAACTGTAATTAAGATATATTGTATGAGAAAAAGAATCTGTTTAAAATATTAGCATAATGTCACAAATTTAGGTGAAAAGAATTCATTTGTCTTTAATGTATGTTGGGAAATGGTTATATAAGTTAGATGTTAACCACAGTTTTTAAAAGATTAACTTGAAACTTTTGCATAGGGCTGGACACACAGGTCAGTGGTGGAACACTTTCGTAGCATGCGCAAGGCCCTGGGCTTGTTCCATAGAGCATACTTGCAAACCCGCAGATGTTCAGCGACACACTTTCCTTTGTCCCATAAAGCCAGAGCTGCTTTCCTGGTCAGGAGCACTGCTGGTGACAAAGGCAAGATCCTGTGGCTTTGAAGTTTCTTTCTTGAATGGGAAGAGTTCATCTCAGGTTAGCAGGATGGCAAGGATGATGGGTGCCATGGCCACATGCCAAGTCGAAATCCAACGTAGCCCAGAGGATTTGGCTGAAAGGAGAAAACCCCAAACACTTAGACCTTGATCATTGTGTGGAGGAGGAGAAGGATTGGGCATGGGGATGGCACTCTTAAAACACGAGAAAAGGGTTTCTCCCTCAGCCTAATCCCAGCTGCCTGGGGGGATCCTCCTCCTTGCAAAAGCTCAACCTTTACAGATGTAAAAGAGTTTGGAAATTCTTTAAATGTTATTAGCTGAATCCTGTGATGGACACTAACCCTGACTTATCCATAGGACCAGAAATGAGCCAATCGCAATAAAATAAGGCCATGTCAAGTGTAAATAGATGACCTTAAAAATGTGTATGGTTGACTTTAGGGACAAGGGAGCTACTTTTTTTCTTTCTCTACCACACTAATCATTTAAAGACTGTACCTAGTAGTGTATCAAAGCAAATGCTGAGACTCATTACCAAATCTTAGGCAAAGTGCAGGGAATCATATGAAAGAAGGGGGAGTTAGTAAGCCCTGGAGATGATAGGAGCTCCACAAGGACCAAATATATCAGGGTACAGGGGTCTTTTCTGAGATTGATTCTTCAACCAAGGACCATGCATGGATATAACCTAGAAAGGCTGCACAGACGAAGCCCATGGCAGCTCAGTATCCAAGTGGGTTCCCTAGCAAGGGGAACAGGGACTGTCTCTGACATGAACTCAGTGGCTGGCTCTTTGACCTCCCACCCCCGAAGAAGAAGCAGCCTTACCAGGCCACAGAGGAAAACAGAGCATCCAGTCCTCATGAGACCTGATAGGCTAGGGTCAGATGGAAGGGGAGGAGAACCTCTCCTATCAGTGGACTTAGAGAGGGTCAGGAAGGAGATGAGGGAGGGAGGGTGAGATTGGAAGGGAATGAGAGAGGGGTCTACAGCTGGGATACAAAGTAAATAAACTGTAGTTAATATAAAAAAATAAAAATTTAGTTAAAAAAACTAGAAGGAAAGGAAGGAAAAGGTGATAGGGAAGAGAAAAAGATCATAGGAAGGGGAGCTGAGTGATAAAAATGAGGAGGGAAATTGGAGTGTTCTCTAGGAAATTTTGAGTGCCAAAGGAATGTCAAGATTGGTTTAGCCTTTCTTAAAAACAGGAGGAAGGTAGTTTTCTTTTCTCTGCAGTCACTCCCACTTTTAAAAAGACGGGATTACACCTTTTTCCTTTTCCAGGCCTCAGAATGTTGTACTGATAGGAAAATGACCAGCCTAATAAACTATCCTCATAACCTGATGTCTACCACATTGGATCTGTAGTGAGAGAGCATGTCAGGAGAGGGTGAAAAGTGACAAGCCAGCTGAGAAGGGAGCAAGAACATATAGGTCTACAGCCCCTATGCAGAAGCAGAGGCAAAGAAGCCAGCCAGGAGACCAAGCCCTGAAAAACACAATATAGCAATGTCTCCCAGATCCAGGATCTCCGGTGATACGATATTATATGGAAGTTGCAATGGTTAGAGTCTGAGCCTTGGTAGCCCTAAAAACCTGGGCTCAGCCACTCATCTTTAACAAGCCAATGAAAGAGACAAAGTAATATCAAAAGCACAAAGGGGTTATTAAATAAAACTACATTGGCAAAAGGGAAAAGAGGTCCAGCAACCTCCCCGCTACAATCCGTATTCAGGTCCCAATGTGAAGTTCAGACTTAAACTGAAGGCAAGAAGTGTGCAGAAGTAAGCAATCTCAGTCGGCGTGTGGTCCTTCATGTCATTATCCTGGTTTTAACCCCGCCTGCAAGGTGTCCTGGCAAGCTGTGATAACTATGTGAAATCTCTTCCCTGGAGATACATTCCGTCTCTGGCTAGTGCCAAGCTCTATAGCACTTTTTTGCTAATATCAGACTCCTAGAGAAATTCTAGCTTCTTGGGGTCTGTCTTAGTGTTCTATTGCTGTGAAAAGACACCACGTCCATGGTAACTCTTACAAATTGGGGCTGGTTTACAGTTTCAGAGGTTTAGTCCATTAGCATGAAGCATAGCAGCACGCAGACAGCCATGGTGCTGGAGAAGAAGCAGCAGGTAGAGAAAGACCATGGGGCCTGGCTTAAGCATTTGAAATCCCAAAACTATCCCCAGAGACACAATTTCTCCAACAAGGCCATACCTGCCCTAACAAAGACACTGCTCCTAGTCCCTGTGAAGAAGCACCACTCCCTCGTAACCAAACATTCAAATAGATGAGCCTATGGGCCATTCTCATTCAGACTACCACTCCCTTGTTTTTCCCTTGTCTGGTTTCCAAAAGGAAGGTTATAGATTCTCTTTATTGGAATATCTTTATTCCTGACAGTATGGTTACATTTCCCTACTCTTTGTTTTCATATATATCAGTCTTTTTTTTTTTTTAACTGAAATTTCTTTTTCATATAATATATTCTGGTCAGGGTTTTTTCTCTTTCATCTTCTCCCAGATCTTCGCCACCTCCCCACCCATCCAACCCCACATCTTCATTTTCCGTCTCTTTAGAAGAAAGGCAAATAAGCAAAGCAGAATAAAACAAACAATCAACGACAACAAAACAAAGAAAAAGCATGAGAAACGCACACACGTAGGCGCATAAAATCAGAAACCATAGTATGTACGCAAAAAAAAAAAAAAAATAGTAAAGGTTTAAAAAATGCCCAGAAAACTAATCTCTAAAGATACCGTTGGATTCATTTTCTGTTGGCCATCTCCTGCTGTGCAGGGGCCTGCCCTTTAGTGTGGTCCCTATAGCCAGTAAGAGAAAACTATATCCATTGGAGAAAATTAATTGTTCCTTGGCAAGCGGTTGACACTTGAAAATAGCTTCGGGTTAGGGATGGGGACTCATGTCCGCTTCCCCCTCTCAGTGCTGGCTTGGACCTATAGTCTCTATGAGTTCATACGTGCGTCTGTCCTTACACGCCTGGAAGGCTCTGTTTCCTTGCTGCCTTCCATCCCCATTGGCTCTTACGGTCTTTCTGCCTCCTATTTTGCATAGCTCCCTGAGACCTGATACACCTCAATCTTAAGATAAAATATGCTTGCCTGTGAAACAAATATCACGAATAGAACATAAGTAGGAACTACAATCAGAAGACAGTAACTGGCAAGTGATTGTGCATAAAAATAAACCTGTTGGCTTTAGTTATTTTTAGAAGGAATAGTACAAATGGCTTCCATTTTGTTGTTGTTGTTGTTGTTGGCTTTGAGACAAGATCTCACTATGAAGACTGCACTGACTCCAAACTATTTTACTCTCCTGCCTCATTCTCCCAAGTGCTGGGATTAGATGAGCCAACAGGCTCTACTTTCAACAGCTAACATTGAAATTACATGTTCCCAAACAGAGAACATACGTGTATCTTTAGAATACCTTTATTCTTGCCAAGGAAGTTACATGGACATGACAAAGGCTACAGTAAAACATTACAACCACAGATTTGAGCTCTTCTGGAAAAAACAGTGTACGTCAGCACTAGAGGGTAAGCAAGTTTAAATATGGAGGGTGGGTGGTTAGAGTTCTGGAGATTGTGAACAAATTTATTAAGGGATCCCCTAAGTCCTGTCGTCTCTGGAGTTAGAGGGACCAAGCCAACTTAGATGCTAATAATTTACCATTAATTAATTACTATTTACCATTTATAATTAAATAATTAATTAACCAGGATCGATGTTAGACAGGTTACATGTATCATTAATTTATTCCTTATAGCATTATAAGAACTATTATTTTATCTTACATTTCAGATAAAGATAGCTTGGAGAAACTGAGCAACTTAGTTAAACTCAGTTGTCAACTTGGTGGGCTATGTCATCACCTAAGAGATGCCCTTCCAAGAGTGTCTGTTAAGGGTGTTTAGAAATGTTTAACTTAGGAGGGAAGATCTACGCTAAATGTGGGCAACACCATCCCATAACCTGGCCTCTCCAACGGACTGAGATGTGGAAAAGAAGGAAACCCACTGAGCATTCATCTCTCTGCTTCCTGACTGTGGGCGTGAAAGGCTATCTCACATCTTCATCACCACGCCTTCCCATCATGATGGACTGTGTTCTCAACCTTCCTCCTTTAAGTTGCTTTTGTGTGGTATTCTGCAATATCAACAATAAAATAACAACAACAACAACAACAATTCAGTGACTGTATCAGGAGTGATGTTACTGACTCTGAAATCTTAGGCTTCATTGACACCTGTGGAGGTCTGGATTAAAGGGAAATGACACTGTGAATGGATGCCCCTAGGCAATGCAGAGAAATCTGTTTCACACAGCCTAGAGTTTGTCTTCCTACCTTTTCCAAGGACCGTAATATGGTACAGTCTCTAGCTGAGGACAAGACTCTCCTTTTCACTAGCCTCTCTCTCTCTCTCTCTCTCTCTCTCACATCCACTCTTCCTCATTTCCTTGCCTGGACTGCTCTCCCACTTGCTTACTTTCCCTAACTGTCCTGATATCTGAGACTGTCCTACAGTTAATCGGGACGCAGCTTTTAGGACAGATAAGGTGAACTGGCTGGTAGGTGGCTGTAGAGCCAGCCAGGTGGAAATCAAGTCTCTCAAACGTCAACGACACCTTTGAGATTCTCCACCGCTTTCTCTGTCAGGTGGAGTAGGAACCCCCACACCTTCATTCAAAAGAAGTCAGTCATCTTGTGCCCGCCTCAGCTCCTTGGGACATGATTCTTACCCAGAGAACAAGGTGGCATGAAGTACACTGTGTCATTCTTGCTGCTGATAGGATTGCTGACTTGGCAGGTGTAGAACGCAGACTTGTTCTGTGGGGTGACGGTGATTTCGAGCACATCTCCTGGCTCCATTTGGGGAAGAGGCCCTGAGTCCCCATACCAAGTGTAGGTATCAGGCTGCTCCTGTACTTCACATGATAGCCTCAGATAACAGGAGCCAGTCAAATCCTCAGACCTATTGATCTTTATGGAAGGCTTGAACACAGGATCTGAAAAAAGTTTGTTATGAAACAATGGGCTTATGCATTTGTGCAGCATTTATGATGCAAGATTTAGACAACAAACTACGAAGGGAACCACGGAGGGGCCATGATTGACATTCAAGATGGTTATGGACACGAGACTCCTACAGATGGAGCTAGGGAGCAACTTTGTACCCAAGAGGCTACTTTTTGATACTAAGAAAGATCCAGAAGGGGGAGCCAGAGTCCCTTACATGCCACTAAGAACAAAGTGGGATGATGGTCCTCTGTGAGCCAAGTACTGATGTGGATACCAGCTGGCTTCCAACTGAGTTTCCTGACTATCTGAGATACTCAGGGCCTGTCCTCCAACTATAAACCACAGCAAGCACTAGTGAGCCACTTTGTCCCTCAAGAATTCTGGAGTTCAGATTCAGGGAGAATCCTGAAGGGCCTCAACCTGTACACAGCAAAGCCCTTCACATTATCATCACTGGATGCTTAGAGCTATAAACCTGTCATCTTTGCCTCCCTTGTGAATCTGAAGCTCATAGAAATGCATTTGTTTAGTTTGCCTAGATGATGTAATGTCTTTTCCTTTTTGACTTTCTGTCTAAGTACTTAAAAAACCCATTAAGTTTGCTTCATTCCGGAGAATTCTTTCCTGTGAGATAGTCAAAAGTCCAACTTTACCTGAGAGAAATCTCCACTGGGAAAGTGAACTCTTTAGGCCACTGGTGCCTGTTAATCTGGAAACCCAAACACACACTGTGCCTGTGACCATCTTACAAACTGTAGAAAGCTGTGAGACAAAGGCTAGAACACAAAAATCTAACTGCGAAACAGACTAATTGATCCTTTCTTGAAGAAAATGGAACCCGGACCCTGGATTGTTTCTGAAGCTGTTTTTGCTGAATTCCATGTCAAGGAATATGTAGTTATAAGCCTGCCCATTTTGAAAGAGAAAGGAAGATATAGGAGTCCCACTCATTCTTAGCCTCAGATTTCTTTGTTCTTAGCTCTACCAGTGTAGCAGGAAGACACACCACAACATAGCCACCAGGGGCCTAAGGAGTTTCCTGTCCCTTTGGAGACCTCCATTTGGGTAAAGCTGGATCCTTGATGGTCCTGCAGAAGAGAATTCCATGATGAACCAGAACAAGGCAAAGTTAGTGCATTTACTAAGTATTTAGACAGAAGGTCACATAGAAAAAAGCGTTACACAGTCTAGGCAAACTGTAAGTAAATGCATTTTTCTTTATGAGATTATTCAGATTAGGCACAAAGCCCAAGCTTTATGTTGAGTTAAATCATGTTGATGGCAGGATCTTTAGGCTCCTGAGGCTCTGGACTCTGAACTGAGTGAGCCCTGTTCTCAGTCTTCCTCCTCTCAGCCCTTTTAAAAAGTCTTTTACTCCCTTGAATTTCTCTATGGAGTTTCTTAGAACAACTCCATTTTTGGTAAAGGTACAACGAATTGAACTCTGTTACTTCCCGCCAAAGGGCCTTACCTGATATGGACAAAGAGATATTACTATCTTACACCATTGTACCACAGCTACTAAGCCACTGACCAGAGGGGTTTGGGTTATTACAGAAGTGTTAATAGACATATAATAACCATACATACTTGTGGGGTACTTTGTGATACTTCAGTATACATATATAATAATTACATCAAGAAAATTAAGATTTGCCTCCTCAAATATTTATAATTCCTATATATGTGAATTAGGAATCTTTGAGGTGTTCTTTTCCAGCTATTTTGAAATGCTGTTCTATGGATCCTGAGAGATAAATCCCTTCTATTTAATTGTTTTGGCATTTATTATCCAACTTCCCCTTAGTTACTATGAAATCAACATTCTTGGCTTTCACAAATGAGTGGGGGAGAACATGGAGGGTTTGGCTTTCTGCAGATTCTTCTTTCATTGAATCAGATCTTTAAACATAGGTCTCTCTGACTCTAAGGATAATGTCTTATTTCCAGAAAACTGGTTAGCCTGTAGCTGTAAGTGGAAATTTATGTCACACTCAGTCTGAAAGAACTTTCTCCTTGAGAGCTCTCTCAATTTATCTTTTTAGTATCTTTTTTCTATATGTCTAATAAAGTCTGAGTTCAGACAGAATTAAAGTACCTTCAACACTGATATGCTTACAGGATGGAATAAAGGAACTAGAGAAGAAATAGTCTGGTGTTGTTTCTTCCTGTTTGTGGCTCCTCAAAAGGGTGTCATGTTGAAGGTTAGGCCATTAGTGGACAGTACTTATGGAAAGCGATTTTTTTTTTTTTTCAAAAAGTTCCGACCTCTCATCAGTTGATTGATTCATTAATGGATTCATAATTGAATGGACTATTGGGAAATGGTAAAAATGGGGAGGGACCTCGTTGAGAAAGCATCACTAGGAACATGTCTTTGAAAAGTGTATCTTGTGCTTGGCCCTTCATCCGAGTACCTCCTTCCCAGCCTGAGGTGGGCAGAACTGCTTCATTGTTCCCATCCCCGCCACGATGCTCTGCTCATACTGATAAAGCCAGTTGCCCATGGACTACAACCGAATGAACCTTACCTTGTCTGAATTCTCTGCCTTGCACATTTTGTCTTAATAACGAAGCTCTAATGCAATTCCTCTTTAAATCTTAGACTTCCTTCAGATGATATTTTAAATGGGCAACAGTTCTATGAGCTTTGATATCTATTGGCTAGGGCTCACTTACAAATAGAAATATCTCTGGTAAAAATGAACTGTGTCCTGATGTTCTCTTCTCCCTCTCCCAGTCAGCACTGACACCTCCCCACCACCACCACCACAATCCCCGACTCCCAGAAGAGCAGCAAGGTCCTTGAATGGGCATTTGTCCCTTGACTCCCAAACTCACCAAATACTGTTAGGGTTATCAGCCACTCTCTCTCATTTTCATTCAACAGTCTCAAGTAGTAGGTGCCCCTGTCCTCTTTCCGGAGGTTATAGATACTAAGGGCACCACTTCTATTGTCAAGTTTGACCCTGTCCTTAAATCCAGAATTGAAGATAATCTTTGTACCACCATAGTTGTACTCTAAAATCTTCTGTTTCGTAGTGTGAAGCCAGGTGAGACGCTTGTAGGGTCCAAGCTGTTTCTTGAGGACATTCAGGGTTATGTTGCTGCCAGTTGCTGCATTTATGTTTTGTTCTGAATTACCTGCCAATGAAAGTCAGAGTGAAATCCATCATGGAGAAATCAGTGCTTTCCAGTGGCCCAGATTTAACGAGCTGGTAGGGGAGGAAGGAACCCACCCAAGAAACAGGGGTGGGCAGGGCAGGGTGGAATAGAATTTACTGATTATAATCCCAAATTTCTTCTGTTGTACAAGAAGACAAAGGACAATAAGCTGATATTGATTCTTTCTCATTCATAGCCTCTCTCTATCTCCTCTCACAGAGTTTCAGATACATTGGTCCCAAGTCTCCCTCTATGGGCTTGTTTCTTGGTTGTTCAGATTTATTCAGTCAGTACATTGATTTTAGACATAGATATTGTTACAGAATTATACTCTAGCAGATTTAATACAAAAGTGTGAACTGAACATAAAAACAAATCAATCTGGGTTGGGGATGTAGCTTAGTTGGTAGAGTGCTTGCCTGTAATCCTAGTCCTCAGAAAATACAGGCAAGAGGATCACAAGTTCAAGGTCATCCTTGTCTACATAGTAAGCCTGAGGCCAGCCTGGGCTACCTACATAAGAGCCTGTCTCAAAAAATTTAACAGTGTATTATCTTGTTACTATAGTAAAGACAAGGACAAGGTGGGGGACCAAGCTGCTATTCGGAGTACAGAATAGGGTTGGAGGAAAGCTGGCGATATCTCTTTGGAGCCATGGCCACTAGTGTAATTTAGAAGATGTTTAAAAACTGACACTTGCTGAGAATCATGTATCAGGTACTATATGAGGAGATGGGAGTATGTCAGTGAATTAATTTTAAGAGGCCCTTGAGCTAACAGTAAGAAGTAAATATTCCTGCCAGGGAAGCAGGTAGACTGAGTGCAGACCTTGACCTCTCCTTCTGCTCCTCCAGATTTAATCCCCCAGCTTCATCTCCTGATTTGCAGCAGAATACCTGTTGCAGACCCTCTCCCCCTGATCCTTAGGGATATCCCACAGATATTCCTATCCAAACCTTCTTAGCCCCACCCAGTGATTTGTCCCAGTCCCCAAATTCAACAGGCACTTCCTTGGAACCCACAGGGAAACAAGCAGACTAATTGCAGATATTCGCTCTTCCCCCATTCCTCCAAGTCTAATCTGTGAGTCTCATCCCCACCTCCATAGCAGACCTTCTGCTGTGGCCTCTCCTCACCCTCTGCACCCATTCCCATATACAAATGTCAAACAGACTGAGAAACATATCAGGGAAACAACCCCTTTCATAATAGCGTCATAAAATATAGAGTATATTGTGTTAACTCTAACCAAGCAAGTAAAAGACCTGTATGATAAAACTTCAAGTCATCAAAGAAAGAAATTAAAGAAGATATCAGAAGACAGAAAGATCTCCCATGCTCATGGATCTGTAGCATTAGCATAGTAAAAATGGCCATCCTGTCAGAAGCCATCAACAGGTTCAGTGCAGTCCTCATCAAAATTCCAACACAATTCTTTATAGATCTTGAAAAGAGAATTGTCAACTCTAAATGTATCAAAGACTTCAACATAAAACTAGATACACTGAACCTGATAGAAGAGAAGGTGGGGAATATTCTTTTTTTTTTTCTTTTTAAAAATTTTTTATATATTTTTTTTACAATTTATTCATTTTATATCCTGATTGTAGCCCTCTCTCTCATTTCTTCCCTGCCCAATCCTCCCTTCCTCTCCTCCCACCCCCCATCCTTTTCCGATAGTCCACTGAAAGGGGGAGTCCTCCTTCCCTGTCATCTAAGCCTAGCTTATTGAATCTCATCAGGATTGCCTGGATCCTCTTCCTTTGTGGCCTGGCAAGGCCACACTGCCAAGAGTAAGTGACCAAAAAGCAAGCAACCAAGTTCATGTCAGAGATAGCCCCTGCTCCCCTTACTTGGGAACCCACATGGAGACTGAGCTGCCTATGGGTTACAACTGAGCAGGGGGCCTAGGTCTTCTCCATGTATGGTCCTTAGTTGGTGCATCAGACTCTACTGGCCCCCATGGGCTGAGATTTTTTGGCTTTTTTGGTCTCCTTGTGGAGCTTCTGTCACCTCCAGATTCTTTTGTTCCCCTGTCTTCCATAAGACTCCCTGCGCTCTGCCCAAAGTTCAGCTGTGAGTCTTTGTATCTGCTTTGATCATGGAGAATATTCTTGAACTCATTGTCACAGGAAAGGTGTTCTGAACAGAAAGAGTGCTGTTAGCACAGGCACTAAAATCAGCAATTAAAAGGACCTCAAGCTTCTGCACTGCAAATACTGTTATTTGGGTAAAGTGGCAGCCTACAGAATGGGGAATAATTTTCACCAGCTTCACATCTAACAGAGGACTAATATTTAAAATACATAAAGAACTCAAGAAACTAGATATAAACAAACCAAATATTCCAATTAAAAATAGGGTACAGATATAAACAGAGAATTCTCAATATAGGAAACCCAATTGGCTGAGAAACACTTAAAGAAATATTCGATTGCAAATCAAAACCACCCTGATATTTTATCTTATAACTGTTAGATGGCAGAGATCAATAACACCAGCTCATGCTGGTGAGGATGTGGGGTAAAGGGTATCTGTTGCTAGTGGAAGGGCAAACTTGTACAAGCACTATGGAAATCAATATGGTGGTTCCTCAGAAACATGGGAATAAATCTACCTCAAGATCTAGCTACATCATTCTTGGGCATATACCTAAGGAATGTTTCATCCTACTACAGAGACGCTTGTTCAGTCATGTTCATTGCTGCTCTATTTGTAATAACCAGAAATTGAATACTCCCTAGATGTCTTTTAATAGAAAAATTGATAAAGAAAATGTAGCACCTTTACACAATGGAGTATTATTCATCTGTTTAAAAAAAACGACATCATTGGGCTGGAGAGATGGCTCGGCCGTTAAAGGCTAGGCTCACAACCATAAATATAAAAAAAATGACATCGTGAAATTTGAAAGTAAGTGGATAGAACTAGAGAAAAATCATCCAAAGGGAGGTATCTCAGACCCAGAAAGACAAATATGGTATGTATTCACTTATATGTGGATACTAGCTATTAAATTAATGATAACCAAGTTACAATCCATAGAATTACAGAGGTCAGGTATAGAGTAAGGAGGGTACAGAAAGATCTCCTTAGGAAAGGGTAATACAATAGATAGTTATGGATGGATGATGTAGCTGATACTGGAAGATCAAGTAGGGAGACAGAGGGGGGAAAGGTGATGAGGGAGGAAATATGTGGAGAGACAGCTAAAATTAAGGGCAATTTGAGGGGTATTGTGGAAACCTAATACGATGTAATTTTCCTAAAATACATACATATATGAAGCTGATCTAAATAAAATCTCCAAATAATGGGAGAGAGAGCCCCAACTGGCCATCTTTTGTCACCAAATGAAGCTTCCAGTATTGGAACTGGTTTACATATAATTGAGTTCTTGGTCAAGGTAGTTCATCCCATGGGAATCCTCAAACAACCCAGGCTGTTGCCAAGACATAAATTGCTCTCCACAAACTGATACCAAGGCTCCATTGCTGAAGACAAAATCTACACAACTCAATGAACATAGCTAAGTCAAACATAATAGAGCCTTCACTCCTCCATCCTAAGGTCTTTGGTGTAGGAAGGAACTCTGCATTCTCACCCAAACAGAAACATAAACCCAGTCACAAAACCTTTGATCTCCAATGGTGTCCTGTCTGCAAGATGTGCTAGGGCAATGGTGGCACAAATCTTGTGGGAGTAATCAACCAATATCTGATTCAACTTAAGACCTACTCCATGAGATGGAAACCAAACTGACACTCTTTGGGTGACCAAGAGCCAGAGACTAGATAGCTCAGAGACTTTGTTAATTAAGTAAACAAACAAACAAACCCAAAAAACCTGTAGCAATAAAATGACTCCTATTTTAGGCACCATCAGAGAAGTTTCCTTCTGCAGCAGATGGGAACAAATACAGAGACCCACAGACACATTATGCAGAGTGAGAGAGCTTGGCATACTCAGCCTAAATGAGGTATCTCTGTCAAATCCCTCTACTCACTGCTCAGTGCTCAGGAAACTCCACAGAAGAGGAATTGGAAAGAGTGTAAGAGCCAGAGGAGATGGAGGACATAAAGAAGACAAGACCCTCTGAATCAATATGATCAAAGCTCATATGAACCCACAGAGGGTGAGGCAATATGCATAGGACCTTCACCAGTCTGCATCCGGTCTTCTATGTATATATTGTGATTTCCAGTTTAGCTTTTTTATGAGCTCCTGGGTGTGTGAAATAAGTGGGTTTCTGATTCTTGGACCTACTCTTGTGCTCTTTTTATTCTGTTTTTTGTTGTTGCTGTTGTTGTTTTTTGTCTAGTTCAGTGTGATAGTTTTTGTTTTATCCTACTATATTTTATTTTGTTGTATTTTATGATTATTCTTTAAAAGCCTGTTTATTTCCTAACAATAAGACAGAAATGGAGCAAATTCTGTTGGAAGAGGCATAGTGGGGTAGTGGGAAGGAGAGGCAGGGGAAATTATAATCAGGATATATTTTATGAGAAAAAAGCCTGTTTTCAGTAAAAAGAAAAAAGAATTAAATATAATAACTAAACATATTGTACAGTATATTAGGTATTGATGATTGCTCTGAAAGAGAAAGCAGGATCATGAGTACAGTGAGAGCGTTAGGTCACTGAGATGTCCTGCATTAGGCGATGAGTTTGTCTTATCTGAGCAAAGGCTTCAAAGAAAGGGGAAACCCAACAGCTATCTTCAGGGACAAACCAGGTAGAGGAAGGTCTACAGCAAAGGCCCTGTGGTGGGGAGTGTACCTGCTATATCTAACCAATATCAAAAAATTCACAATGGATGGTGTGGAGTAAAGAAGGGTAATGGGTGAAGAAAGGAGGTAGTGAAAGTGTTAAAGACAATCAGTAAAGGCATTTTTCTCTTATTGATATTGCTTTACTGTTGCTAAAAACAAAACAAAACAAAAAAAAAACAAAAAATACCCAAACAAACAAACAAAAACA